GTTCCCATTTCCCCAGCATCCTAACCCCATATGACTCTCTCCAATCTCCCTCTACCACACTCTCAATTCAAATGGAACTGCTTAGATTTAAACGAAGTCCTCACCAGTGTGGCAACTGCAGAGGGTCTGTTGTTACGAACGCTCTTGACAGCGTGGAAGACGTCTACGATCTTCTCCGCTTTGATCTTGTCCAGCATGGCCAAAACGGCACAGAAAAGCCCACTGCAACGGACTCCATCTCTGTTGAAAAAAACCATTATTCACACAGATAAAAAAGTTTACTGGAAAATTGCCAACATAGTTGGTTCAGTCAGTAGAGCTCCTGAATGGTACTCCCCAGGTTCTTGATTCAACTTCAGTCTAATCAATCTTCTTTTCTCACTTTTAAAATCATTCTGTCATGATCTGGTATTCTGGTATAAGAATGAATAAAGCCTACCACAAGCAATAAACAAAACATAAATGTGCACATTACAGTGTTCTTTCTCCGCAAGTTTCTAGTAAGCCCATCTTAAACAGTGTCCTCGATGGCTCTCCAGGGCATAATCATAAAAATGGAACTCATTTAACCACGGAAACTGCTCAAAATGTGTACAAGACCTATTGGAGATGTCCATCTGACTCACATGCATTGGACTGTGACTGGCCCACCGTGATCTTCCTCTAACCATCTCTGCAAGTAGCTGATCAGTTTCAGTAAGGACATGCCAGAGGACGGGACCTCAGAATCTGAGGACCAGCCGTTGAACTCAAACTGTCGGATGGTGTGGGCTTCATCCTTCTGTAATATTTTAATCCAGGCCAACATTAACAGCCTAGGTACATGAGCGTCAACATGAAAAGCTTAGCAGCAGGTGTGTTCACATTTCCCGAGGAAATATTACAATCAACATGACACAGCAGACACAAAAATCAATACATTATGAGATAAAAATGTAACGGCCAGTTACACACAACCAGGATTGACAAAAATCAAATAGGAGATTTTAAACCAATTTTCAGTCACACATAGCTTAGCTAAAAAAAAAAAAAACAGGGCCATCAGTGCCCAGTATAAAAAGGCTTTCAAAAAATAAGGACCCCATTTCTAAACTAAATCATTTCTCTAACCTCTTGGAAACAAAAAATGATCAGCATTACTAATGCACTACCAAGGACATGCAATCTCACAATACAAATGCAGTCGTCACACTAAACATGCATTCAAATCACACACGGTTACATTTTTGTGCACATTCTGTGGAAAACTCAAGGCACTATGCTTGTTGTTCCTGTGAGTGGAATGCAGCTCCAGTCCTCCATGTTCTGACTTACCGGTTTGTTCATGTTGTCTACCGTGAACGTCCTACAGACAGTGCCATCGTAGGATTCCACTGATACTACCTGCACGTTGTACGGGCCATAGGCTGACATGGTCTTCTCTGGCCAGTACCTGCCCATGGTCTGGTAAGCAATGACACAATGACGATAGTTTATATATTTGAGGCTAAGAGAATAGGGTTGAGGCTGTGCTGTGCATATCAGGGCCCAATGTCGTGGATTGTTGGAGCAATATTAACTGGGAACCCGACATCAAGCTTTCTTCTGGAATGTTTGTCTGACATTCCAACCTCTAATACAAATTCCTTTTCATCTCCCTATCAGTGTGTTGAAACTAGGCACTATAAGTACTCATAACAAATCCCTTCAATTTCAGAATCTGTGTCAACTAATAAAAGACTCCATGTCTGGACAAGAGAGGGCGCTGTGTCAACTAACAACAACAGGATATGAGAACTTTGCACTGTTCACTGAATGCATCATGACACCAGCATGCACGAAGGAAGACTGTCCTCTTCCTATAACTGTCCTCCATGATACTGGAGTGCTCTTATTTCATTGCCACATTAGGGCTGAGCTTCCAATGAAGCACGTAGATACAAGTGAAATGATTGCTAACCTCATCGGTTGGGTCTAGAGGGTTCAGCATGACGATAGTGGAGGAGTTGTAATCATACACCATACTCCAGAAGTCAACCGTGGTATTGGGCATAGGGATTTGGGTAATGATGTACTCATCTCGCTTCCAGTAACCCTGCAATAAAAACACGAAGGAGATATTTAGGTGTTTGATGAAATTCCCCACGGAATGCCTCAAAACTCAAGAAGATATTTCGTCTCTTTGTTTATCTTGGTGATGGACAAGCACGTATTACTAAGACAAACAGAAAAACAAGCAAAAAAAAAATATCACAACCAAATAGTTGAAACAAAATGAAACAAGAGAAACATCATGTAATGAGACTTTTTAAATGCCAAAAGTAACCATGGTAACTAAATAGTGTTGCGATGTACTCACATTTATGAATGAAGCATTGATGTAGTTGGTACTCTGCTCGGTACCCATCGTCATCAGGTAGGGTCGTCCACGATCCACTATGAAAGTCAGCAAACTCAGTCATACATAACATGTTTTTTTCTAAAAATCATCTGTTTAAATATTCTAGGCCATGGAATATCAACACCGCTCTTCCTGAATTTTGTCAAAAAGTAGAGTTTTCCCATGGGTGTGATCATGTTTGCTACAATTTCACTGTCATTTACTCAGTGTATGCCAGTGCTTGGTCCTTGCTTGTGATTTCATTCTTGGCTACATTGTACTTGTGACTTAAATTGCACGCACTGAGTGGACAACCTGAGATGTTATGTTCTTTAAAGGTTCTCAGGGAAGTCTGTAAACATTTGATTAGCAGACAGCTACCAACGAAGAACTTTATCTTTTGCTTCTACTGTGCAAGAATTAACAAAGAGGTTAATAACAATTTTATCAGCAGGTGGAATTTGACAGGTGTATGGCATACGTGATGGTGCTTACATGGTAAGTTATCAGGGAACCTGTTCTTGTTAGCGTTCAAAGGGTCCTTCCCTCCTCGGAACCGGTCGGCCTTGGCAGTGGGTTGAAGTGATGCCAATTTCTATGTCGAGAGATGTAAACAAAGTAAGCAAAAGCCAGGCTATCCTATGTTTGCAGTCATCTACATCACAGGATGTCGGTCGCCAATTTTCAATTGAATGTGCACAAAGGTGCACCATTATTGTCATGGGAACTGGAGCTTACGTGTTAACCACATGCTGTCGGGTGGTTTGAAAAATGCAGTGCACACATAAGGGCGCATTTCAAGATTTTCAGTTTTCAAAAATCTTCAAAAATTCTTCATTTCAATTAATGGATGTTTACACCCACATGAATTACTGTCTGGTGGCCACTATAGCCTGACAGACAACATCTATTGATGCCCGAGTATTTCAGCCAGGCCTACAGCCTTGTAAAAGAGCCCAGATTGTGTGGTGTTATGTAACTTTCTTTTGTTCACAAACCTGGCACAGTGCGTTGCTGATCTCTTTTCGAAAGGAGCCAGGTTAGCGTGCAGCAGTGCTGTGTGGCTCATTGCTGCAGTGGAGCACTTTTGTCCGTGGTGGTAATCTGCTCGCACTAAATGCTTAAAACCGTGGTATACTACTTCAAAACAAGGCTGGATTTCGAATGTTGGTAATGCCCAGCAGCTCAGTCATTCGTGCCGAGCACGGTCTTTTGTTATAAGGCCCAGCTCTGTCCCGGTTTCGGGCTCCCGGCTTCGTGTATAAAGCCCATGTACTCGAAAACGGGTCCCCTGGCAGCAAGTGGTTAATGTATATGCACTTTTACACATTTTCACTGCAGTGGGCAGGTGTAGAATTGGCCATGTTTCCCACTGAACCTGGCAAACCACCTTTATCTGACTGACTTACAGTGAATTCATCTTGAAGCAAGGTGGATTTCCCAATAGGGCTGGGTGTGTTGAGCCTGTCCATTGCCCGTCTCAACCCTTCCATAGGCACCCATGTCTGGCCGCACAGAAACGCTTCCAGGAGAGCATCAAAGATGAACACATATTGCTCCTGGGAAGCAGACAGAAAGACAGGAGAGGCAGAAATGTGACGAGAACCTCGATGAATCCAAAAGGTGATGTCTGAGAACTTACAACCTCCTTGATCCTTCTGGGCAAAGTTCTTTTAAGAATGTACCCAGCAGGCATACACAGTGCTATCATCACACAGTCCAAGCTGGGATGAATTTTCCTACGAAGCCTCAACATTTCCAAGAAACTTTACCCTACAACTAATCTGGTCACAAGAAGTGGATGCTGTTACAGTAGTGCCATGTCTCTTCATACAGGTCTTCACAAATGTACTCGCCAAAATATGTGCATACTTAAGACTAACAAAACGCACAGCACGATGGTGAATGAGGAGCTATCTAAGTGTGACATCTTTGTGGATATGTCTACAAGAACATCCAGTATGCCCAAGCCATTTCAAGTTAGAAGTTCTTTTAAGAAGAAACCAGCCACGTCTCTTTCAAAAATGTTTTCAAAATTATAAAGGCACTCCTTTTAAAAACATCTTGGGTTAATAAAGCATGACCTTGCCAACGGTATTTCTTCTTCTATGACAACAGCTTCTTAAAAAACGATAATAAAAGTGACAACTGACAAGTCAGCCCTTCCCTTTACAGCAAAACATACAAGATCCTAACAGCTCTTTGATTTAAGGGAAAAGCCCTCAAAAACAAAATCTTGCATGAAAGGAACATGACCTATGACCTTGCTTAAAGTCCAGGGTGCCATTGAGACATTGTTCTCTGGGGCAATCCAAAGATTTCTTACCTGTGTCTGGACCATTCGCACTCTCTTGTCTCTCATGTTGCTGACAAACTTCAGCACGTCCACCTGCCCTTCTCCTTTGGCCTGGTCCAGCATGGCATCGATGGTGATGAAGGTACCCGTGCGACCCACTCCGGCACTGGAACATTCGTGATAAAAAACACACTATGGCATTGAAAGACACATCACATTACAATGCATCATATAATGAATTCTCACAGTAAATTCGCATGAAATTGATGGCAGTGGAAATGTTGCAAGTTATCCTGATGTTTTGTGTCGTCATTTGGTGGGTTGGTCGCTCAGTCCAAGCTTTCATTTGAGTTGATGAAAAAAGCCGATTCAATGAGTAGTGATCTTTATTAAAGAGGGCTTTCTTTCAATTTATTTTCCTTATCACTCAACTCTCACATCCTGTAAGGATCATTTTATTATGGAGACTTAAGTGAAAATTCACAGCTGAGACAACTGCAGTATAGTTCAACTCCCTTGGAGCCATCTACATGTAGGTATTTGTCAATGAGGCTGGGTCCAATTCACTAAGCTGTGACTCAGCATAATACATGCACCTATGGCAGCCACAAACTAGTGGCTTCCTGCATTTCCCATAGACTTGTGTATCATTTCCAGCCTTAGCCACCAAATGGGGACGCAGCCTGCTAATTTGGGATTGTTCTCACCTGCAATGCACAATGATGGGCCCCATATTGGGCTCTTCATTGCAGCCTTCCTTGACCACAAATACAAAGCGGAGTAGAGGGCTTGCGTACTGAGGCAGGCCCATGTCTGGCCAGGAGGTAAAATGGTACTGCATCAACTTCCTCTCCTCACCATTCTGGAAAGCAAGGCCAACGACACCATTGAACATTTTGGCTTCAGACTTCCACAACGAGATCGAAGTAGTTTTTTGTCAAGTTCCAATTCAATAAGATCCAATTACCAATTTCCAATTCCAGTTCCAACCCTTCTCCAATCAAATACCAATTTTAAATCCAACTCGGTAGATCTACTGTTCTGCAACTAACCTTTTTCATTTTGAAGGTCCGTATAATGTAGTCTGCCAGCTTAGACTCCTTCTCCAGTTCAACCTCGATCCCACCATAGGATTTGGATTTCAAAGGCCAGTATTGCTCACATTTTTTCTACAGAGTATTTACACAAGAAATTGTGGGGTGCTGGGTCAGTTTAATGAGCAAAGAAGGGTAAAGAGTGCTTAATATGGGACTCTCACCTTGCACTGGTGAAGGGACTTGTGACTGGACTTGTGATGGGACTTGTGAAAGGACTTTTGATGGACTCAAATACAACACTGCTTTCAATTCCCAGCAAGTAGTCAGTCACTGGCAATTTTAAATTTGTCAATTACCTTGCCTCCTTCAACCAGGTGCGTAACCATGACGATGATCCTTGTTTTTTCCTGCCAAATCATGCGCCACATGTCCCTAGTAGATGAAGAATTGGGACCTGCATCAAAGGATGTGAAACAACAGGTTAACGGTTCCCATGGAGAACACCAAGCATGAGAAGCTTCTCATCAATCAGTGGTAATGCAAGAAAAAAAATCCCAAAAAACTCATATGGACAAATCAACACAAATAAACAAAACACAAACAAAAACAAACAGAACAAAAGCACAAAGTCACTGTGGATAATTTCCTGGTATTCAGTGGTTCTGAACATGCAATGACAAAGCACAGGAACCAAATAAACAGTCAAACAGCTGGTTCCTACCCAAGTGTTTAAAGTCTGGAACCTCATATTCCTAACCATATCACAACCTCTTGGGGTTACGATCTGAAGAGCACCCCCCACGACCACGATATGTATGCTTCAATTTTACAATAATTCCTGACTAAAATTGGCTTGTATTACTTAAACATTATTTGCAAGGCAACGTAGACAGATGACGTACCCTGTGCTGCTATGTATTTCTTGGGATGTTTATATCCCTGTGAAAGAAAGAAAAGACATTATCAAATTAAATAAGCTTATTTCTGTACTGCACAGAAAAGTTTATTTGTTTTAACCTGGCCCTTTCTAGGAGTAAAAAAATAACACAACCATGAAATACGAGGGAAATGGAATAGCATCCAGACACTGTAAAGGCTCCATATTGTTGGCCCTTCCAACTTACATCAATGTAGTTGGCGTTGATGTAGTCAGAGTGGGGATCTGCGTCCAGCTTGTCCAAGACCACACGGGAATGGTCATCTGAGAGAAACAGATCAAAGGTCAATCAAGAATCAGCCACTTCCTAGCTGATTGATGAAAGTCTCCAAACGAGGCTTTAACAAGACTACAACAGCTGTTCCACAAAACTAGTTCTTCCCTATGTTTAGCATCCCACCTATTCTTTGAATAGCGCTGTCCCTGGGGCCAAACTTTTGATCCTGGTTTGAGGAAGTTTGGGGGAAAGCTGTGTAAAATCCAGGAAGTTTGTGGACTACAGAGTTGGCCCCTGTAACTTAGTAACAATTTCCCTTCTAGTCAAAAAAATGTGTACATGCATCTTCACACATTCTTGTTACTGGTATAGTTTGTTGAAAATCATATCCACAATTCAATCAAGGATTTCACAAATTCTAGTTGAAGGTCGCTGGAATTACTGGCATTCTATAGACCAATTATTTGGCATGATAAGCACACTGACCATACAGAGTTAATATCTAGAGACAGGTGTCAAACATTTTCCTTTCCACATGAATGTTGAAGTGGTTATCCCCTTACATGCTATGATGTTGGCATAGCGATTCTTAGTTTTGTTTTCATCTTTCTTGGCGACATCCATGGAGTGTATGTGATCGCTGGGAAGACTCTGAAGAGATCAGAAAAGAAAAAGATGTTCTCACATTGCAGCAGACACTTTCAAGACTAGGAATTGCACTGTAAGATGGCTTTGAAACGGTGACTTCGTCTTCAACTCCACCCACACGTTTCAACAATTTATTCCGAGTTGAGACTTTGCACCTCTATAAAGCTCACTTTTCTTCTGGCATCATCAGATTGTCTGATATAGTGTCAAAGTTTGCGGTAAATTTGGGATAATTGAAACAGATTCTGGGGCCTGAGATAAAGTCAAAGTAAGATATAACACTGAGATTTGGAAAAATATGGACATAGTGGAGTTGTAATTAGAACAGGCCTACCTTACTGTTTCAATTCTAACGCACTCAGTTTTCCAAGCTCAAACTTGTTGACATTAACACGATTTTATTTCCTCTTACTGAACAGTTTATACCAGTGCAGATGTGGCCAAGGTTTTGAGTGTTACCATTTGTTTCTGAAAGTGAATCACCCAAGACGAAGGTCTGCCCTAGCCACAGTGAAGCCAAGATTTACACCATGGCTACGGATACTCCATAAATCATGAAAATGTCCAGAGTCAATAGATTTGACAACGGCTGACTCACTGCATAGTCCAGCTTGAAGCCTTCGTTGCTCTTAGCCTTCTTGGCTTTCACGTGGTCGGCGAGCTTCTCCACCTTGACCGGCCCCGATGACCTCACCCTGGCTGTCGGCTGGCGGTGTATGTCAGCTGGCAGTGTGGCTGCGCCCGAGGGGGTGGGACGAGGAGCCCCATCTTGAGTCATATTTGTCAGGGCGTCCTCGGAAGCTACGTGCTTCAGCTCAGGGCTGGGAGGTGACTTTTTGATGTATTTGGAATCTGCAATAAGGTATTGATGTCATCCGTAGACATTAGAGGAAGGGTTAAAGGTCATGGTTTGTTAATATACATTACACAAAATGTTACACACCACAGACCAAAATTAGCAAAATGTTGCTGAGCATCACACTTCACGGCTTGAACATACTTTCAAAATTGACACTGATGAGAAATCAAGTAATTGTATTAAAAAATGCCTTCATAAACATTCACTGAACATACTTGAAATGAAATAACGATACAAAAAATACTACATTACCGTCAATTTTTGTCATTCCCACAGACTCAAAGGGCTTCCCTGTATTCTGTGCACGTCTGTGGTAAAACAAACAGCAAATGAATCAAGTTAACTCTGTGGGGGAGTTGATCCTTTGACCTGAGCACCTGACCCACATCCCATGTCAGAGTCTTTTCTTCCTGACAGGTGTCATCCGTTTATTTTTGTCAAGCTCTAGCAGGTAGCATTCATCTCCAACTTGTATCCTGTATTTTGTACAGAATACCTGTGACTAAGATTCCCGATGAAACATGCAAGACGGACAATACGGGCGTTATCCAATAGTGCACCTCCAAGAGTTTACAACCCGTTGACCAATCACAAAGCGCGAAATCTGTCAAACCTTTCCAAACACGCATTGGGTTGACAGCTTTCCTACACGGTGATTGGTCAATGCATTGCAACCTTTTAAAGGCACTCTATTGTGAATCACCCATATTTTCAAGAAAGACAGAAAGAAAGTGTGCCATGAAGCATTACCATCAGACTGAGTTCAGCCTATTAGGATGTGATATCACCCAAAACAATCTTCATATCTTCAGAGGTTTTCATTACCACTGTTACAATGATGTTACTGGATCCAACTTCAGTCTGTGTTCCTTTTGGGAGCCTACTGTGTACTACGTCTGTACCATTTCCCACAGCTTAAGAAGCGCCAGCCTACAGATAACTAGACCACGATGCTTCTCCAGTTGAAAGCATCTTGGCCTCTCTCCTGACACTCTATCACGGCCAATCAGTCAGTGTCCTCAACGGAAGGTGGTCCATGGGCAATAGAAATGGTGTGATACTTTGCTTTATGCATGTGTGCTTTCCTGTTGTGCTTAGTGGACCACGGGTCCTCAATGGCTCCATAAGACAGAGCATATGTATGAAACCAAGTGTGGCATCATTAGTGCGTATGCCGATTACCTTCTTTGGCCTTTGATCAATCGGGCCCAACGTGGCAAAGTCTGATTGGTGAGATAACACCACCTGATAGGCTCCGTCAGTAAACAGTGTGTAAATGGAAAGCTTACCTCCGTCTGATTATAATCACTCCTCCAAAGACCACCACGACAACTACCAGAAGCACTAAGATGACAGCAACGATAGTCCCTACATCCGATCCCCCGTCCTCAGGTGATGGTGGGTCCGGTTGGCCATAGTTCCCAGCTGAAAACAATGACCCAACACCGAAAAAAACCTTTCTTTTTTCAACCTGTAATTAATTCCACTTTATTAGAGTGAAAGGCAACAGTGACTTTGGGCATAAAATTTGCATAAATTATCCTCTTAGGACCACTCTTTTGGATTCAATTCAAACTCACCTGTAATTGTGAGGGGTTCTGACAGGGCTACAATGTGTGCCTGTTAGTAAACAACGGAAAAACATTCGAAAATTGTCAAGTCCAGTCAAAATTTTTCAATTTGCACAAAACTCAAGCCCTGTGTGATTAAAAACATATGTAGGTTAACAAAACCTCTCCTAAGAAAAGTAACACTATAATTAAACAGGAATCACAATTTCTTTAGCAGGTCACAATTACAATAAATCAAATAAGTCCATGACGTTTACGATGCAACATAGTGGTTTGTGTTTGGTTGTTTTTTGGGGTGTTGTGGTGTGTTTGTTTGTTTGTTTGTTGGGGTGTTGTGGGGTGTTTGTTTGTTTGTTTGTTTGTTTACAGTTACAGAAAGAAGTGGAAGGCAAGTATTGTCCCATTTACGGCAGCTTTCATAAATCACTTACATTATCTGTTTTGCTGCTAGATCCGGTTTGTATTTCGTAAGTGGTCCCTTCCTGTAGAGGCGGGTTGTAATAAATCCCGTATGTCTTCTCATCGCCAACCACAAAGTTCCCAGAGTGTTCACTCTTGCTGATCTCCCCTGCCCAGTACTCCTCAGGGTTGGTGCTGTAGTTGCCGATATCTTCCTGCTTGATGTTGACTGATTCCCGACGCCTCCTCGAGGAGACTTTCTTCACTTTGACCAGGTATGAACTAAGATCAGAAAGGAAGGGTAGAAACAATGCAAACCTGTATGCAGAAAGGTCTTCATAAAGGTTCAAATTCAACTTCACTTTTTAAAATGAAATCTTAAACTTAGCCCCTTTAGGGACCAGGCTAAGAGAGAGCATAGCGTTTAACGTTGGGAGCAGGTTGATCAACAGAAAAACCTTCAGAACGGCAAAACTCACACAATGTAGGCACTGTCTACCTCCGGTATGGTGATGTCAACGCGAGTTCCTGTGGATGTCTGCGGATTGACGGAGGGTAGGACTGGGGCAGGAATGTCTGCAAATGAAGAGCACAGAATGTCTAGCATTGTGGGATTGCACCATGCCTCATGCACAGACAAACTGCCACACTTTGGATTTTGAGGGATGTTCTCATGCATTATTCGCAGTCATGAAATCAAGTGATTTCTTGCTTATTTTTATTTAGTAGGCATTCTACAATAAACAGAGCACTGGATTGGTACAGTGAAAAACAAAAATTAGCATAATGGACAAAGATAAAGGCATGTTGGATAACCAGCAAAGGCAAACAGAAAGCCCAGCTTTGGAAGTAACATTTTACCTCATGTGATCACACTGGTCACACACAATTTGTTATTGACATAATGTGTTTCTACATGGGTCCATGCAGTGATGTATTGTAGCTGGTTACACTCTTTTTGTTATTGTTAAGTGTTTTCTCTGAGCAATCTCGTTATTTTACCACTAGTTGCTGGATGACATAGAAACATGCACAATTGATCTCATTTGTTGAGCAAAGGATGTGTACAACTGAATTCTTTTCACATTACCATGGTTAAAGTATTAATGTACTGTGAAATTGCAAGGTCGGAGAATTTACAAAGAAAGAAACCCACCACAAACAGCTTTTTCAGGGGAGAAAATCCAAAATTAAGTGGTAAAGACAATACCATTTTTTTCTTTAATCAATTGTAACACTTATTGTTACTTTTTATATTACCTATATTTTCTTTTACGTTAAAATTCCATGTTTCTAAAAAGATTACATGAACTTATTCCAACCTGATGCTGGCTCAGTAAACGCCTCTATCTCAGCCGCCGGTCCCTCCCCCTTTTGAGTAGATGCAGACACCAAAATCTCATAGTTTGTGCCGGGTTGAAGACCAGGTATATCACTCTTTCGAATGTCTGGTGGTGTCTGTGATTTGACGTAAGTTAAGCTGGGACTGAAATCTGGATCATATGGTTTTTCTATGACTCGATGCTTGACCTGTTTATAAAAGTAACAAAGGCAGATGTTGTCTATTCTTTGTCATCAATACCATGTTTTGAATCAATGACTGTAACGCGTCATTATCATCCAACAGATTTCGAGCTTTTCGTTAATAAGCCGACAAAAGACGAACATGCAAGACATGATGTTAGGTTATACACATCAACACTACAAGCAGGACTTGATTTACATCTGTTCATTCAACAGCGCATTTAGCGCCAATTACAGGATGAAATGATAATTACAAAGGCAATGAAGAAATGTTCAGTTTTAGAGGTAGGAGGAATACCCAGCATGAGTATTCCAGGGGAAACTCAAGGAGTCAGACAGGGACTGAAAACCCAATCCGTGAACAAACTGGCCTAGGTGGTATTCAAACCCGGGCTGAAGAGTTGGAAGGCAAGGAGAGAGCCACTACACCAACCTGACTTCCCTGATTTATTTAGAGCCTGTATGGGGTTGTTCAGTTTGTGGCACTGAAGAGCGTTTGAGTGTTATCCCTGGGTTGTTAGCACTGTTTGACTATAGTAAGGGAGTAGCCCTTCCCAGACAATACGGGAAAGAATATTCACAAGCCATTCAGACTGAACTTGAACCAATAGCGGCAGAATGGTTTTAAAAGGGGGGGGGCAAAATAACTACCTTTTCAACGGTAAATGCCTCCCCCACCGCCAGTACCTTGAACCCCTGATCTCCTCCTTTCTAGTCAAGATGGCCTGAACACTTTAACCACCTATATTAATTTTTACATCTCCACAATAAAGTCCCACTGACAAACCAAACCAAAAAAGAGAGCCAGGTGTGACTCACCGTGTATGTAATGATTCTTCCATTGGGTTCTGTTGGTATATTCCAAGCAATGGACAATTGTTCCTGCGTCTTGCTCTCAACTCTCAGTGAGGATGGCTCGCCAGGAACTAAAAAAACAGAATAAAAAACTCAAAGGAACTGACAATGCACGATACGTAGCATTTAATGATTTTAAACACGGCTCTAAACTAATTCTCTCAGAATAGGTACGAGTTTGCTCAAGCAGCTAGGAAAGCCAAAACGGCCATCATATGGGAGCCCCCTCTCATGGTGCACCAACTCAGAGGAGCCCTGCGAGAGCGCTGGTTGAGGTGCTAAGGGGGTGCAGGGGTTGAGACCATGGATGAGCTGATCGGCCGTATGCCAGACTATGGAGTGTGGAGTGTCATGTATCAAAAGACTCACTGACTTTACCCCAGGACAGCAGTTTAAATGCGTAGAAAGTGTATGAATGTGAAAGTTGCTCATGCGTTGACAAACTGAGATTGAGCGAGGGCAGGACAAGACTCCAAGTTTGTTCAAAGGGCATGATGCGGAAGTTGGAATCTGTTTCACTCACTTCCTTCCTGAGTTATGCGATACACGGGCACACTCAACGGGCCTCTGTTCACCGCTGTCTCTGCCTGGACCTGTAAGTTGTTGAGAAATAACAAAACCCTGGGAAATTCAAGGGAGCCAGGCAAAACGTAGCCATCTTCATGTAGAACCTACAGGGACAGTACTTTCCAGAGTTACTACCAGGTCTGCAAACTTGGTGCGCTAGTTCGTAAAAAAGAACAAACTCTTTGTTGTGCTCATTTGTGAACTGAAAAAGCTGCATACGAGCCTTTTCAGCTGAAGTTACTGCACCAAATTGCAAAACAACAACTTAACAACAAAATAAAGTCTGCAGAATTCCCACGAAATCAGCCGTAAGAAAGTTCTCGTCTCAGTGATGTTGTAGTTCTGTCAAGAACCGGTGTACTGGACAAGTAATGTAAACATTAATAATGCACCTCATCTACAGTGTGACTGTGTAGTTCAGGGCAATCGCCAGGAAAATAGATGATGAAGAGATATCATCTTAAAGTATGTTATTATTTAAAGACAACACGTTACCATGGATTTCTGAACTTTACAGAAGGGACATCTGGTTTTGACAAACATCTAAAAACACCAATATGAGTTGTATGGGGACATGTGAAGTGTGGGTTAGGGTTTGTAGATTCCAACCATAAGGTTGGGGGTTCGAATCTAAGGATGTGATCTTAGGCAAGGCAAATAGCTCCTACATGCTGCCCTCAATCCTGGAGAAAATGGGTATCTGTGAAGATAGACATTGTAATTATGTTTAACCATTTATACCTAAAATAGCAGCCCTGGGCTAGTAAACTCCGAATGGAGCAGAGATGGTCTCAGGAATGTTCAAATGCCGTAGGGATAATGAATATACGTGTACATGTATCACTTTGAATGACACATACTGTGAGAAACTGTGCGCCTTACAAATGGTGTTATCATTACCTCGATGGAGTAGTTGCTATCAGCAACCAGACCAGTCAGCACAAATTCAAGGAGGGTATCGTTCAGTCCTTCAGTGACTTTCACTTCCTCACTGCCTTGGAGGACAATACCATAGCGAATGTAGTAAGCAATGATGATCCCGTGAGGTGGGTCTGGACGGTGCCATCGAACAGTGATGGAGGTGGCATCCCCGCTGGGGGTTGTTACCATGGGAACTTCAGGTGGTTCTAAATACACAGATGCAAGAAAATATCAACTTGAGAACAAAGCCAAACCTCTCACACTGTTAATGGCCCAATATCACGGTGCAAGTCTGTGATTTCATTTCAAAATGGTCCAAAATGTTAAAAAGTCTGCAAAACAAACAGCGTGTTAACATCACAGGCATATAACGCAAACCTGCCGTCTTTGTGCATGAATTCCTGGACATGTGACCACTGCTAATGGTATTCAATGCTTGGCTGCTATCCAACAACATGAGTTTTCACTAACCCCTAAGTCAGGGACACTTCCTGAAGAATTGCTATGCTCACTCGATCCTTGCTTCAAACAGTCTAAAAGCTTCATTTCTTGAGCTCATCGTGTAAACTACAACCACAGGGCTAAAATGTCAGTAATTTGAAAAATGCCTGTAAGTGGTATAAAGTATGTATTTATGTATTATCACTTACTTGCTTGGGCTGTGCGTAGTCTTATCGCCTCACTATACGGACCATCACCAGCTGCAGTACGTGCTAAGACTTGGAATGAGTACAGCGTGTAGGGTACCAGTCCGCTGATGTCAGCTTGCCTCTCATACGAGAAGGTGTTTACAGTAAGATTGGCCCCTCCTCTTTCTAGATCCAGTAGTCGGTACCTGTATCCCGTGATGACACCCCGGCGACCCAGGCAGCGTGGTGGCTGCCACTCAAACCTTAACCCTCGTTTCAATGTTGCTGCGTTGGCAACATCACTCGGTGGTTGCGATGGGGCTGATAAAAAAAAAATTATGTTCAAAAGCAAAAATATTTATTTTATCACACTGGCTTCACAGAATATACTGGAGAGAGAAATCAAGTGATATTCAGCATTTTAGATAATTGATTCAGTCATGAAGCAACTCACCTATCAAATTGGCTGAAAATTAAAACCAACTTTCAGCCAATCACAGGTGACCTTAGGAATTCCTGCTTCAGTTATATGTGATTACCCTTGCCTTGAAATGAAATCTTCAAATCCCGGAAAAGGTTTCGAAAAATCCTTCAACCTATTCTGTTGTTACTTTACAGGATTTTATTGTGTAAAACATGGAAAAATTCTCACTTTGGGGGTCTAATGTCCTAAAGTTTCCCCCAAACATCCTTCCTGCCTGGAAAACCATTTTCCTTCCTTTCTAGGGGAGCTTGTGGCTTTTTTCTTAACTATTGCTGCATCCCATTTCAAGTGATTTTGGCCTTAATAAGTAAAGCCAGCCCAGCCCTTTGCCGAGCTTATGGATGTCCCTGTGGATTAATGGAAGGTTTCCCTACTCCAAAACATTGAGCACCATCATTGAACTGGCCCGATGTCTTGGTCCACCATCACAGCATCAATCTACCCACCCGCGTCAGCTGTATAAGCATAGACGTAAGATCCGTCCCCCTCTCCCACTGAAGTCCTAGCTGTCACATCAACTCTGTATCTAGAGTAAGGAAAAAGGCCTGTGATGCCGTACTCTGTGCCTTCTGTTGTCCCCGCTAGGGTACGATTACTGTCTGGTATCTCGCACTGCGATAACCAGACCAGGTCGTAGTGGATTGTATAATAATCTACGGGGCAGTTGCCAGACGGTTGATTCCATCTAACTCGCAGGGCAGTGGGCTGGTCTTCAACAGAATCCACAGATAATGCCTGAACCCGAGATGGAACTTAAATTATAAAAAAAAATTTTACAACATGATAAATATCTGAAGAAGTGCTCCAATAATGATTGTTTATCTTATATAGACATATTTGATTTATCATTCAATATTTGACCCAATATTTGAACATGGTATCTGTTAATTTGACAAATTTATGACTGTACTCACGAATATTAAAATTTGCATTAGCATGAAAAAAATCTGCCTCAAAATCATAATTATTCAGTTTTTCAATGTATAACAACTCAAATTTTGAGCCAATAAATATCCCCATTATATTCATTGGAAAATCTTTTGATTTTAGTCAAAACTACATGCAGAAACAGTAAGTAATGAAATGACAACATTCGGCAAAAAGAAAATAGCCCAATTTGGGAACTGATCACTTACCAACAGTGCTGGTTGTCACCTCAGTGGCATTGCTATAACTTCCAATGCCAATGGTATTTCTCACTGCAACCTTAAAGCTGTAGGTCGTGCAGGGGGTAAGCTGAGTTGCCTGTTTCACTTCAGAACGTAAGTCGGACGAAACCAATTCACCGGTTGCTTGGTTTCTGAGCTCCGTTTTATACTGATAAAATGACGACCGACCGTTCACCTCCTCGCAGGGAACCTCATCCCATGTGAAGCGTATGCTGTCAGATGTGACATCTGACTTCTGCAAGTTCACTGTCGGAATGAAGCTGGATACTGTTGACACCAAAAAGAAAATTAAATCATTTTGTATAAGAAGTCTTGACTTTGGCAGAATTGGACACTAAAATTGCGTGTTATAAAAGCTGATCTATATACATATAATACATTACATTTTTTGTTTTCAAATCTACAGATTCATATTTTCAAGTCTGTCCAGCCAATCTGAATGTAATGATGGACTTGCATTGTTCAATTCTGTTGTCGGTTGTCATTCAAAAAGGTAGGCACTTATTGGAGATAGCCCAACCC